TGGGCCATGTGAGCTGTGCCAGCTCTCATACTGTACAGTGGCCGGGAGTGCCAAACATTGATCTTAGCGCCTCTTTCTGGGTTCCTTCTGGATAGCTGAGAAGGAGAGTGCCTCCCTGAAGCTTTTTTCTGATAGAAATATGCATATTACTGAAATGAATCTTATTTATTTCACTTTATTATATTGTACATTCTAATCATTGCATGCATTTTTTATACTGCATGCGAACACAGTGAAAATCCTCATGAAGCTAATGTGTATTCTTTTCTATTAAACAAACCAGTGCTTGGTTAGCTATTCTTTTTCTCTTTACATTCAACAGCATAACAATTCAATAAATTATTTACAAGTAAGTTAGTGGCAATGTAAAGTATAACTATTTATTTAAATATGACAATTCTTAGTTTCCTTTTACAAGTGGTCTCATTTAAAAGCATCATCTATTATAGAAAAAAAAAAAGTACAAATCTTAAAGTGATATTAAAGAAAATAACAAACATGTAATTCTTACCTGCTCTGTGCAGTAGTTTTGAACAGAGCAGCCCCGATCCTCATCTTCTTGGGTCCCACACTGGGGCTCCTGGCTCCTCCCTCCTGCTGAGTGCCCCCAGAGCAAGCAGCTTGCTATGGGGACATCCAAGTAGGTTTGCTCCCAGCAGCTGTTCTGCATGTCCATTCACAAACAGAGTCGTGGCTCCACCCTGCCTCTCTCTCTCTCCTCATTGGCTCACTGGTTGTGATTGAAAAAAAAGTGCAAATAAGGAGGGAGAGTCCCTATAGTGTCGAGGCTTTCGTGAACATTACTGCATCGTGATAGGGCTCAGGGGTTGCTGCACACAGAAGGCTTTAAACACATTGAGCCTTTAAAACCACTTTACATTTTTATAAAAACATGGAAGTCCAGTACCTTTGACTCCAATCATAATATTTTTTATTTCACTTGAAAAAGTAATTAAAAAAAAAAATCACAGCACTGCTAAAAATAAATATCAGAAGATATTACACTTTAAGATATATACACTTTAAAGGTGTCCACAAATATCAAACAAAACCTTAACTAAAACACATCTTGTTAACAGTGCCTAATATAAAGATGAAAAATAGATGACCAGCCTATACATTGTGCAGTATACATAAACATAAATACAGTAAACGATCACATCCATAAAACAATAGAGTGCAAAATCAAACTGGTGACTACTGTACATACATCATTTATATGGTGCTATATGTTAAGTCCACACCCAACAGTGATGTAACATACCTGGTGATGGAGCCTTACAGTTCTGGTTCAGGAGCCCTGGCAAAGTGACAGGGAATGCCAGAGTGGCACGATTGCCTGGTAAGTCTTCTACTAACAGATGCTGAAGGGCATCAGGATATCAGAATACACAGGAAAGGCTGGCTGGTGCACACTGGCAGAAGGACTGGAGCCAGTGTTAAGTATGGATCAGCTGGTTCAGATACAGGATGAAGAACCAAAGGTAGGGTCAGACAGTCCAGGTCAGCAACCAGTGGGCAGATCAGGTACAGATGGCAGGCAAAGGAATATTCAGGAGTCAGGCCGGGGTTGGTACCAGCAAGGCAGATAAGCAGAAGGAGCAGGCACAAGCATAGTCCAGAATCAAGCCTGGCGTCGGTACAGACAGTGTTCAGACAGAGTAAAGAGTAGATCGGGTCGGCAACAGAAGATCAATTCAAGAACAGACCACAGATGCACAGGGATGTAGCAGACCAAATGGCAATGACACAGTGGACTAGTTTAACTTAAATAGCCACCTGGCATCATTGTGTACCCGCTTCCGCATGTGTGCATGCCTGTGTGTGCACCCGCAATTCAACCACGTCCCGAGTTCCTCAGATTCATGTGCCTGTGTACATGTATGAGCATTTCCTGACAAGTGCTCTCTAAAGTGCTATGTGTAAAGTCCAGATAAGTGTAATCTTCTGTGAGATGTCACTTAAAACAGATAAATATTGTGGCACACCTCCTGTCCGTGACCCTCTGTGACATTGTGTGATCCCTGTGTGACCCCTGACTCCACCAGCACTCACCAGTTATCTTTGATCTCTTACACTAATCAGAAGAATAGCTTGTAGTTGTGCTGTACCAGCACCAGTAGAAAGCATGCTTAAGGTCAGCCAGGATGCGCCGCTACAACATGCGCCGTGTTACACTTGGTGTAAACTTATGCTCCAAAGAGAGAAAGTGAAATTAAACATATGCCCTGCCCAATGTATTTCATCATCAAAAAGTGGCCATTTTTTTTTTACCCTGCTTTGGGTAACTGTTTCCCATAGGGCGTCCTAATGAAATGTATTGGGCTGGGCTGTATCTGTGACCCCACTTGGAAACCAGAAATTGTTTGGTTTACAGTGAGAAGGGAAACCCTATGGTGATTTTATGTGCGTGCATATAGTATAGTGGGCTGGGGATATTACAGTGGGGATCGAAAGTTTGGGCACCCCAGCTAAAAATTTGTATTAATGTGCATAAAGAAGCCAAGGAAAGATGGAAAAATCTCCAAAAGGCATCAAATTACAGATTAGACATTCTTATAATATGTCAACAAAAGTTAGATTTTATTTCCATCATTTACACTTTCAAAATAACAGAAAACAAAAAAATGGCGTCTGCAAAAGTTTGGGCACCCTGCAGAGTTAATATCTTGTACTGCCCCCTTTGGCAAGTATCACAGCTTGTAAACGCTTTTTGTAGCCAGCCAAGAGTCTTTCAATTCTTGTTTGAGGTATCTTTGCCCATTCTTCCTTACAAAAGTCTTCCAGTTCTTTGAGATTTCTGGGCTGTCTGTCACGCACTGCTCTTTTAAGGTCTATCCATAGATTTTCAATTATGTTGAGGTCAGCAGATTGTGAAGGCCATGGCAAAACCTTCAGTTTACGCCTCTTGATGTAATCCCCCATGGATTTCGAGGTGTGTTTAGGATCATTATCCATTTGTAGAAGCCATCCTCTCTTTAACTTCAGCTTTTTCACAGATGGCATCAAGTTACCATTCAAAATTTGCTGAAATTTTATTGAATCCATTTTTCCTTCTACTTGTGAGATGTTCCCTGTGCCACTGGCTGCAACACAACCCCAAAGCATGATTGATCCAACCCCATGCTTGCCAGTTGGACAGAGGTTCTTTTCATTAAATTCTGTGCCCCTTCTTCTCCAAATGTACCTTTGCTCATTCCGGCCAAAAAGTTCAATTTTCGGTCCACAGAACTTGTTTCCAAAATGCATCAGGCTTGTCTATATGTTCATTTGCAAAGTTCAAACGATGATTTTTGTGGTGAGGACGTAGAAGAGGTTTTCTTCTGATGACTCTTCCATGAAGACCAAATTTGTACAAGTATCTCTTTATAGTGGAATAGTGTACTACAACTCCAGTGTCTGCCAGATCTTTCTGGAGGGATCGTGCAGTCAAACGTGGGTTTTGAATTGTTTTTCTCACAATCCTGCGAGCTGTTCTGTCTGATATTTTTCTTGGTCTTCCAGATCTTGCTTTAACTTCCACTGTTCCTGATGACTGCCATTTCTTAATTACATTACGAACAGTGGATATTGACATCTGAAAACGCTTTGCTATCTTCTTATAGCCTTCTCCAGCTTTGTGAGCGTCAACTATTTTCTGTTTCAGTTTTCTAGACAACTGCTTAGAAGAACCCATGGTGCTGATTGTTGGGGCAAGGTCAGATGAGTCTGGGCATTTAAAACCTTTGAGATTGACATCATCTGGTCTTCCCAGACAATGATTGAGAACAATCCATGACACTGGCAGGTCTCAGTTTGGCAAAGGGGGCAGTGCATGCTATAAATTCTGCAGGGTGCCTAAACTTTTGCAGACGCCATTTTTTTGTTTTCTGTTATTTTGAAAGTGTAAATGATGGAAATAAAATCTAACTTTTGTTGACATATTATAAGAATGTCTAATCTGTAATTTGATGCCTTTTGGAGATTTTTCCATCTTTCCTTGGCTTCTTTATGCACATTAATACAAATTTTTAGCTGGGGTGCCCAAACTTTCGATCCCCCCTGTATATGACAAACTGGTGGGGGAAAAATTACCGAATGAACCTCGCATAACTGTTCTCTCTATGTTGCCAGGCTTCTATAGACAATTCAAGTAAAGCGGGATTCCAAATTTCCTTACTGCAGTCCACTCAGGTATTGCTAGACATTGGCGGCAAACATCTATTCCCTCATTGGCTGACGGCTTGTGAAATGGACAGAATCAAACATCTGGAATCCCCGATAGCCCGGGAGGATGACAAGACTGACTCCCACACATTTATGAGATTGAGATATCATTTTACCCCTGTACATATCATTAGTAACACCTCATCTGGAATATGCAGTTACATTTTGTTCACCAATTCACAAAAAGAACATTGGGGAACTGGACAAAGTACAGAGAAGGGCAACCAAAATGATAAGAGGCATAGAGGAGCTCAGCTATGAGGAAAGATTAAAGGAATTGACTTTATTCTCTCTTGACAAGAGGAGATAAGGGGGGATATGATCAACATGTATAAATACATCAGTGGTGCATATATAGTGAACTTGGTGTAGAGTTATTCACCCTGAGGTCATCACAGAGGACAAGGGGGCACTCTTTACATCTGGATAATAATAATAATTTCTCCTTCTCTCTGGCTGCATCCTTGCAGCCATTGAGAAATACTGTGTAAGCTGTGATTGGTCACAGCTTGTCACATGGTATAAGGCTGTTGTGAATAGCCTTGTACCATGTGATCTCTGTGATCATTCACAGATTTCACACGTAGTAAGCAACGATGTCAGAAGTGACATCTTGTTTACTACTATTCATGTGATCACTGATTGGCCAATCAGTGATCACATAATCGGGACCTCACACAGAGGTCCCGTACAGCGAACAGTCCAAAATGGCGGACGCCGTTTATGAACGGCAACCTGCTCCTGCACTGCTGTTTATATTCATAGGCCGGAAGGGAAGTGGTTAATTTACTCAGAATCTGCTGCCTGTATGGTGAGAATGTTCAGGGCATGTGAGATATGACCATAGTATCAAGGTTAGGTTAATGCTCTCATAAGTTGTATGCCCAATGTGCAAAACTGGGCACATTTTTGTGAGCATTTTATTAATTTTACCTATAAATTTCCATCAGGGAAGGGGTGAGCAATTTACATGATACCTTTGGTCACAAGGCCCTTACTTCTGTTCTGTCATTTAAAAAAGTACATTTATTATACATATGCATATCAGATATTAAGAAGTCATTTGTAAAATGAGGAATGGATAGATAGATTGGAGAATAGATATTAGGGTCCAAGGGTTATGAGCTATGAAAGCATGTATAGATTTACAATACAGATGTATTACTGAAAGCATACTATATGCGTGCCAACCATCAGTGCTGTTTGGATCCAGCCAATTCTAAAATACAATGTCACAAATAAATATACAGTATATAGTATATTTGCTGATTGTTGATTTTAATAATCATAAACACAATGAAACTTTTTTTTAAATTAAAGCTACTTATAAATACTAAAATTGTACAATTGGGCTATCACTGTCTGAAAATGCATGTTTAATAACTCTTTGTATGCATTTTTTGGTTACTAGCGTTACATTAAAGTAATTCGAGATATATCTGAAAATATAAATCTTTTACTAAGATATATTGCATTCATGCATATATTCAACATGAAAGCTTGTATGAATCCTAGTTTAATTATTTCAGTGATTCTAGTGCAAAATATTAAAATTGATGTAACAGCTATGTGATATTTTAAGTTGTGTACCTTTTATTAAAAGTGTGCTTTATTTTTTTTCTTGACCTTTATTTTAAAGCACAATTCATTTGTAAATTTTAGCTGTAATTTTTAGCTTTAGCTTTACATGTTCTCCTTTGTCTTCATTTGCCTTGTTTGTCTCACCCCCTTCTCAAATTCTATTCCCATTTTCAGCCCTCTTCAATTTGCCATTCTTATTTTTTTAATTGCAGAACTGCAAAATCACAAAAAAAACGGAATATTACTTCTTCTGCATTATAATGGGTCTTTGTTTTTCTTTCTTTGCAATTGAGGTAACAAACAGCATGAGTACTGTATGGGTTTTGTTCATGTACAGTGGCAGAAAAAGAGAACCCCACAGAAAGGCACAGAGCAGTTTGATCAGAACAAAAATTGTCCCGTGGCCTCTTTTATGTCTAAATAATGAATTAAATAACTGATTAATGCTTTAGAATTGATCTGAATTTTATACCAGGATAAATGTACATTCATTGCTCTTGTTCCTAGAATTTTACTTTGTGACACTTTTCATCCCCAAAAAAAAAACTGATTAAGAGGTTGCACAATAACATTGTAACAAAGTGCATGCAGTGACAAATTGCTCTTTAAAAACATCAAGAATGAATGGAAGAAAGGCCAGATGAAAATTCCCTTGGCTTTGTCAATACTTAGTGAGGGACATGCAAAATGCAGAAATATGGCAGGTCACTAACAATATAAAATTAAATTTATATTAGTTGTTCAGAAAATGAAAAACAAAAAACATGTTTGAGACCTGCTGTAAATTTGCTATGATAAAGAAACACACAATTCATTCAGGAACATTAAACACCCATTACTTTACTACAGCACATAATAAATAATACTGGTGTTGATTTAAAAGCAAATAACCAGTGTTTTTATTGTTATATAGTAAGAGTCCATAATAACAAATTTATGAAAATGATTTGCTTGGGTGTGTATTTGTATATTTATGCACAATGCAGTAGTATTTTAAACAGAAAAGTGCATTGCTTTATTTTTATTTAATCTAATTTAGATTTCACAGCTTTAAAAAGGGAAGAGACACACTAGACTGGTTAGCTTATGCAAATTGATAACATTAATTTTATAAAAAAAAAACGTAGAACAAAAATGTCAAAAAGTTAAAAGCACTCACTCATTATAGTAGGAAAATCCAAAATTAAACATGTATCAGTAAAAGATCTTTTTAGTGTTGCTTTAAAAATGTTTTCATATAGGACATTAAATGCTAAAAAGAAATCAAGAGACCTGAATATTTTTAAAACATTAAAACATCTTTAGGAGTTTCTATTTTTAAAATGTATCTTGCACATAACTGGATTTTAAAGCATTAGCCCCTTCTCTTCAGTAAACCACCTCTTTTGAATGAAAGCAGCACCGGAATTTTGCAGTATCAGCCACTTAAAAATTTGAGGGGCAGCGGTATGTCCTTACTGTGGCTGTACTGTCAATTTGAAAATAAAAATGACACAAATAAAATGCACCAATGTGCCTCATAGTTTGCTAGCTTTGGACCAAATATTATACTATACCTGCACCCCTATCATTTATTTACACCCAGCTGCTACACTAAACACTATAAGTGTCCCAATATACAGCTGTGCATTGGATAATTGTATACAGTATGTACCACAGAAAACATGAACAAGCAGGCAAAACACATTTCTTTTATTTCTTTTGGGATTCATATTAAACTGCAGGTCAAAACAGAATGGCACAACCATAAAACTAAATATGTCAACAAGTAAACAAATGAAATGACCCCTGTTCAAAAGTCTGCATACACTAAGGGTCCTTTCACACGGGTGTCCTGTCTGTCCAGGTTCCATCCATCTGTTGATGGATGCAAAATGGACAGCAATGGATTCCTATGGCCAAATTAATGAAAAACAGACGTTGTCCATTAACATCAGTCTTTTGTCTGCTTCCGTTTGGGTCCATTTTTTTTAAACTGAACAAGTCTGCATTTTTGTTACGTTAAAAAAATGACGCAGACAAAAAAACTAATGTAAACGGACAAACAATCCGTTTTTGCATTGGTAGTGGAAGAGAAAAACTAATATAAAAACAGATGTACAAACTGAAGTAAAAACTGATGTACAACTGATCCATTTTATCACTGAAAAACCGATGAGAAAAAGGGAATGTCTGTGTGAAATGGGGCTTAGTTCTTAATACTGTGTTGCTCCGAATTCTTGCAGGTGGTATAGCTGCCCATTTATCTTGGCAAAACACCTTCAGGTCATGCAAAGTCTTTGGTCGTCTTATAAAAATAGCAAAGTGAGCACTCTAGAATAGCAGCTGTACACTAAAGGTAACCACAAAAAACCTTCAAATTGACAATAAAAATATATAAAGTGCAGCGCTAATAAATAATCGTAGGTTATAAAACATATTATAAGTCCATCCAGTAAAAGAAATAAATAATAAATGGGTAAAAAAGTTCATATAGCATAAAAATGGATAATCCTTTCAACAGCAGATTTCTAGCAAGCTTGTGACTCGAACCAATGGTAAAATTGCGCATTCACCGGAAGCGCATAGGTAATGCGCATATATGTATAACCACCAAGGATCTCTTAAGTAGGTGGAATGTGTCATGTATATGGCGAGCCTCCTTCTATGGATTGTCATCAAGTCTTGGGATAATAAGGAAATCTGCTAGGTCCAGAGGTCCCCTTAAGGATGGATGGGTGCTCAGCCGCCTGGATACAGGGCTCCCCTCCTCTCGGTGTTGAATTTGATGGGGGTTATCTGCAAGTTTAATAGCTCCATATAGGAGCCAAAAATCAGGTGCCCATAGTGTAGTATATCCCAAAAAAAGTTTATTCCAGTATCAAGATAAAACAGGGTAGTATTGCACAGTAATTGCAAAGTAAATGCAGAGTTAAGCAGCACTGACCCTATTAAAGATGGCCACCGGGCTTCCTCGTGGCTCCAGCGGCAATGATGTCATGTTCTGTCAGCTCCTCCTTATGTCTTTCGTGCATAGCACATCATCAGAGGGGAGGCTAACAGTAGCCTCCCTGTTAGCCTCCCCTCTGATGATGTGCTATGCATGAAAGGCCTAAGGAGGAGCTGACAAAACGTGACGTCATTGCCGTCGGAGCCACGAAGAAGCCCGGTGGCCATCTTTAATAGGGTCAGTGCTGCTTAACTCATTTACTTTGCAATTACTGTGCAATACTACCCTGTTTTATCTTGATACTGGAATAAACTTTTTTTTGGGATATACTACACCAGGGGTTAAAATTTCGAGTCGAGACGTACTAGCCAGGCACAAACCTTACTCTCCACCAGTTGCCCCACCAAACCTTACCCAGGTCCGCCCCCCCCCGACCCCACCCCCAACCACGCCCCCTTAAAGCTTATGAAATTACATTTTTCTTTAGAATAAAGAGTCCAAAATATAAAAAACTGCAATTACAACGTAGCTTTATTATGTCAATTTAAACATAACAGCAATAGCTTAATAGCAATAGGGTGCAATAGAAATATCAAGTTTTACAGCTTTAAACCTGTAGTGAACGTTTTGCATTTTTTGGGTTTATCTCCTGCATCTTTAAAAAGAGATTTTAGTAACTAAAGTCTCTTTTAAAAGATGTAAGTTTAGTTTATAGAAGTATAGCATAAGAAAAAGTGCTTATTTTGATGCCAAAAAACATGGAATAATAGTTACTGTAAACATGTTGTATTTTTTTATCTCCAGCAGAGACCTTAGAGAAGTGTGGCATTAAGAAATAAAGAAAAAGGTGCCTCTTTGATGGCCAAAAAACAGTGCATAAAATAATAACAATAGTAAACATTTTGCATTTTTTATCTCCAGCATCTTATTAATAGAGAGCTTAGAGAAGTAGTGCATTAAGAAAAAACAAAAAAGTGCTTATTTAGATGCCAAAAAACATGGCATAACATTAGTAAACATTTCAACATAGAGCAGCCATGGTTTGTGTTGTACAGCAGGACCAAGACTTGTGTAATACCCTTTTTCTGATGCAAAATACCATTTCAATGGCTGTGTGTGGATTGCAATCTATTCCATGAAGAAAAAACACACCAAAAAATGATTATTTGGATGCCAAAAAGCAGTAGGAAGCCAGTTTCACATCAAGATTTGCAATGGTTTTTGTTGTACAGCGGTTCCAAGACTTGTGTAATTCCCTTTTTCTGATGCAAAATACCACTTCAATGGCTGTGTGTGGATTGCAATCTATTCCATGAAGAAAAAACACACCAAAAAATATTTCTTTTGGATGCCAAAAAGCAGTAGGAAGCCT